CCCTCTTTGATCTAGGCAGACAAGGACAAGAGAGGAGGTTGATATGACAAAACTGTCACTAAAATAAAAGATGTCTTGTTTTATTAAAACATTTTAATACTTATTTGTATTGTTTCTATCTTTAAAAACTAGTGATATATAAAAAATAGGTATGGTATAAAAAGTCGTATCACTATACCTATGGGAGAGTTACCTTCTCTTGAAGAGACTACATCTGTCAGAGAGAATATCTATCATAACAATATAGTGTTACCAATTTGTTACTTAAGCATGATGGAGGATCCTGAATATGTAGAAACCTGGCTTAGGTGTTTCACAGTATTGGCAAGAGTAAAAATGTTGAAAGACACCAAAGCTAGTGGAGGAGAAAATGAAGTTACGGATTTCTTTCTGACTTCAGCAGGGTGTGAGGCCATAAAAAAAAATCCCCATCATGGTCTATCTCAAAGTGTTGGAAGATTCAATGTGTGAAGAAATTGCCGCCATCATAAAAGCAAATGTATGACCAAAGAAAAGATTGGTTATAATGGAAAGAACTAAATTTCTCAAAAGTGAACAGAGACCAGACAAAACTATTAAGCAGTATGTACAGCGATTGAAAGAAATGTTTAGATATTGTGAGTTTGAAAGTATGGGTTTGGAACAAATGTCTATCAAAGACAAGCTAATTTTGCTAAGACTGATTGAAGAAATGTTTGACATCTTGTACAAGCATAAAATTCTAGAGTGGCTTCAAGCTCACAATATGAATCTGAAAGCATGTATGAAGTTCTTACCACAATTGGGATCAATTCAAAAATTTAATGCCTCTGAAAGCAGCATGGAGATTTACAGTGCTAATAAAAGCTTAATTGCATGGAGATATTACAATAAGGAACGTGAAAAGAGCAAAAATAAGTGTCTGGCCTTTGGGAAATGGTGTTTTAAGTGGAAAAAGTGGAAAAATATAGATCTGCTGATTGAAAGTATGGAAGTATTTGAGATAAAAGAACAAGATAAAAGTAAGTAAATGATGAAGTTGAACAGAGTAACTTTACTCATACAGATGGATACTGAAAGTGATGTTATGTTGATACTGAAGAATTTTGGGGAAAGAAAGGGTAGACCCAAGTAATCTCCAGTTGAAACAGTTCTATGGGTCAATTTTTGGATGCTTTGAAAGCAAAAAAGAGATTCTAGATAATACCCATCACAGTGGTGGAAAATATCAAAAGCCACTGTCTTTTAGAAAGGGATACAAGGTAAGTATTCGGCTTAAAGAAAGCAGTCAACCCATCAAGCCTAAAAAGTTCCTGTTCACATGCTACCTTTGGTAGTTGCTAAGCTGAACAAAATGGTGGAACAAGTAATATTAAAAAAAGTCAGCCAGGGTGGTAGCAATTGGACTTCACTCATTGTGGCGATAAACAATGGCAATGGATATTTGAGAATTTGTGGTGATTATAAGGTGGGCATGAATCACCAGGTCTGTTCAGATTCATTTCCATTGACAAACGTTGAAACATGCATGGGTTTGCTGGTAGGAAATACTTTGCTATATTGATCTTAAGTCAGCATGTAATCAGATAAAAATTTATAGCAAATTTTAAGTCACCACAATGAATACACCTATTAGCTTAATGAGTTGGAATCATCTGTTGTTTGGAGTAAAGATGTCAAATCACATTTTCCAAAATTTCATCACATTTTTTAAAGGGGGTTAAAAATATAATTGTATATCAGGATGATATTAGCATCCGTGTGTGCAGTAAAGAAAAGCTTAAAAGTAAAACAGCAAGTTTGGAGAAAATTAAATAGTGTGGTTATGACAAACATGATAAATGCAAGTTTAATTGTGAAAAAATTTCATATTGAGGATATCAAATATCCAAAGACAGTATATTGCTGAATGATAAACTCATTAATAAGATATCAGAGATAACTGCACCCAGAAATAAAAAAGAGAATCTTTTTCAGGATTAACCAATTTCTATAACAGGTACCTACCACAATATAGTGACCTTGTGGAACCGTTTAATGAAATAAAGAAGAATAATACCAAGTTTCAATGGACAAAAAGACTGGAGATTGCTTTTGAGATATTAAAAAAAGGCACTTATAAACAAACCAGTTGTTAAAATCTTTGACCCAGAGAAATGAATTGACATTACTGATACCATTGACTATGCTATAGCTGCAATATTGTCGCAGGAGGATCACCCTGTAATGTACTTATCTACAAAACTAAAATTGGCAAGTGAATTATTCGAATATTGAAAAGGAGGCATTGATGATTGTGTGGAGCATGGAGAGAGCTAGAAATTTTTTCCTAGGAAGGAAATTTCTATTAAAATCTGATCATAAACCTCTGGAATTTATATTCAACCCCAGAAGAGAGTTGCCAAAGGTCACATCTGCCAGGATATTAAAATGGGTGATTAAGGTTATGGCATTCAACTTTGATATCATATATATTAAAGGAAATACTATTCTACATGTGGATGCAATATCTTGGTTAAATTTTGAGAGTAAAAATGTTGAAGCAAGTGAAAATTGTGAGGATAGGATTTTGCACCGGATAGAAACGGATGTATTACTCTTATATCAGCTTAGGTTGGGAACTAGGTAGGATCCAGTGTTGAAGAGGTTTATGGATAGAATAAAAAGAAATCCATAGAGTAATTGCTCTATGGCTAAGAGGCCTTATAAAGAGTTAAAGACAAAGATTGACAATAGAAAAAAGAATTATATGTAATAGAGATATCATAGTACCTCCACTATCTCTGAGAAAAGTAATTAAAGCCATGCATGATGATATACATGGAGGTATATTGGCTATGCAAGAATGCTAACAGGTTATTCAAGAGACGTGGAAGAGCATGTTAAAAAATGCCCAAAATGTGCAGAAATAAAGAAATTTAGACAAACTAAAATTCACTCTCGGTGAAAGGAAATGGAACTGCAGACATGAGTACTTATGGATCATGCCTACATTAAAGGTATAGGCCTATTGCTGATATTAGTTGATTTGTATTCAGGTTGGCCTGAAGTTACTAAAGTCACTTATAGAAAAGCCACTATTGTGAAGTGAGTGTTGAGGACAGTGTTTTTAAGAAATGGTGTTCTAAAACTTTGGTCTCAGACAATATACCTGAGTTTTGTGAAGAAAGTTTATGCGCATGTTTAAAATGTATTGGTTGCATTCCATACAAAACATCATCTTACCATCCACAATGAAATGGAATTGTGGAGAGAATGGTTCAAACAGTAAAAATGGAATTAAAAGTAATCTTCCCAGTGGATTGTGATATAGAGAGTTATTTATCAAGACTACTCTTAAGTTATAGAGCTATTCCACATGCAAGCAGAGGATAAAACCTATCTGCATTGATGGGAAAGACAAATATAAGCTCCAATAACCATGTCATTTGCAATGAATGAAAGTGTGTGGTACAGAAAGGACAAGGATTCAAGTCCTGAAAAGGTGAATTTTATGGAGCAAAAAGGAATTTAACAAAGCTGTGTTAAAGAAGGGACAGGGCATATTGGCTCAAGAAAATCAATTTAGAATCACAAGATAGCATGAAGTTAAGGAAAAAAAGAAGGAAAAGGAAGTAGAAGAACAGATGACATAAGAAAGGATGAATGAATCCAGTATTAACAGTGATCAGAGATATGAAATTGAAGAACAGGAGGAGGAGGAGGAGAGAATGAGTGTATCCAGTAGTAGTGATGAACAATCTGGGGATGAGAGTGACCCAAGATATGAGGAGAATCAGTTAAGACCTAGATCTCCTATAAAAAGAAATAAAGATTTTCATTATGAGAGACAGATTATGTCTCTCAGGGTTGTTTTTAGAAGTCAAAGGCTGACTAAAGGTATAAAGCCTCTTAGGTTCATGTAGATTAGGTACGTTATAAAAAACAGTATTGCTATATGTATGGGGAAAGTTACCTTCTCTTGACGAGACTACATCTGTCAGAGAGAATACCCATCATAACAAAAATATAAGTGAAAAAGGTAGTATTTTTTAAAGAAATTCAGTAGTTGAAACCATGAAAAAGAATGTCATGTCTTTAAGCAAACAAGAAGATTTTGAGAAATAAAACAGGATAAATTCTGCATTTAGCAGGATGTTCAAGTTGATAATTAAATATATTCAAGTTGATAATTAAATTTATATTGTTTAACCAAAGTTGAAGAAATCAAGAAAGGTTCCTTGAAAATCTGGTGATTTTCAAAAAAAGCAAAAAAAAAAAATTATGACACATGTAAGCTAATATTATGTCCATAATATAAGAATCTATTGGAAACCAAATAATGCAGAAAAAATAGATTAACATGTCAGATTGTTTGGCAGTGGAAGTGAGAAGTCATTTGAAAATGAAATGTGACATTCGTAACATAAGGTTTTTATTCTGGGAATAAACAAGGGTTTTGAAGTATTATAGATTATTTTATTGGCACAGAATGAGTTGCTAAGAGTTATAGAAACGTAGGGATAAAAGGATATGAAAGAAGATACGTTGTGGGGGGAGGAAACATGAAAAATAGAAAAAGGATTGATTATAAAGAGAAAAGTGTTAAGTAAAAGAAGAGTGTCTGATGTTGATCGTGTTTAAAAAAAGAAAATTAGATTGGACAGCAGATTTGATGGAGACAGGAAGTGGGGGTATGGTCAAAAGAAGAAAAGAAAACTAAAGAAACCAATAAACAAGATGGAATGTGAAAAATAAAGTCTTGGAGATGTAAGAATAAAAAAAGACGACTATGGAGAAAGTTGTTTAAAAGGTGGTGAACAAAGTGAGAGAGAAAGAAGATAACTTCAATCTTGTATATCCCAGTAGTTAATTTACCTACCACAAAACTTATATCCCAACTCTAGTAGATATGCTGAACTATATCATAAAAAAAACAAAAAACATGTAAATCAGTCACCAATGAAAGGTAGAATATAATTTCCTACTGAAAAAGTGAAAGAGCTAATTTGAAAAAGTATAAATTGTAAATTTTTACTCACTTTGACAACATCCGATGCTGCTTCCAAATAAATGGCTCCCTTTGTTTCATTCTTTTTCTCAGCCTTGTAAAACTCAAGGATATATGTATAATCTGTCTGTTGCTTCAAACAAAAATATCTACGCTTGAATTGCTGCAAAATAGAAAAACAATTTAAAATGATTTTGAAAATATATTTAAATGATTAAATTTCAAAGAAAAATATCAAAAGAATTTCTAGAAATATTCTATTCTTGAGATTAAAAAGAACAATATGTTGATACAGTATTTACATTAGTCGGACTATTGTCCTCATCTTTGTCGCCATATTTGTCAAAGTTTGGCCGATGAGTATTCCAATAGATAATCTGATGGAGATGTTGACTTTCTGTACATCAACACACTTGAATGGGATCTCACATATATCGACAGGATGAGGGCTTAATTTACCTACCCATTATCACCAGCAATGGCGAATATATACATGGAATACTTTGAAGAAATGGCATTAGAGTCTATATCATAAAAAACTATATGGTTACATGCGTAAATGACACTTTCATACTCTGGCCACATCAGGAAGAAGTCCAGGTTCTTCTGGACCATGTGAACTCAATAAGACCTTCGATACAGTTCAAATGGAGAAAGAGAGTAACAACTCAATTCCTGGATGTAAATATCTCGAACAGAGAATGGGTTCAAGACATCCGTTTTAAACCAACATTCACCGGACAGTTCAATTTCAACTCCCACCATCCATACAGCGCGTAAAGAAAGGGATCTTCTTACAAATAAAAAGTCATAAGCGATCCAGAGACGTTAGATAAGGAATTGGTCAGTTAAGTAGTACCCTCACGCAACAACTACCCTGGGTAAAAGCAGCCCCCAAAACTGGATAGGCGGGTACAAGAGTAGGAGGAGGAGGACAACAACACTCAGAAAACAGTCTGCCTGCCTTATGTGAAGGGGTTATCAGAGAAAATACAAAAGTCTGCGGTCCATATAACATCAGGACAACCTTCAAAAGCGTGACAACACCATGCAGGTATCTCTCACGAGTGAGACCCCCCATAGAGAGGAACATGACTAAAGACTGTGTATATTCCCATGCAGCTGCGGAAAGGAATATAAAGGAGAGACAGGCCGCCCCCTCAAACCAGAAAGCTGTAACGCGGGGAAGTAGAAAATCAGGCGTACATATGGAGAGAAAGGAGATCACCGCCCCTGTGGGATCATGTTGAGATCATAGACAGGGAACACCATTGGAAAATTGAAAACTAAGGAATCAGCACATATGCTAAAAAAATCTCCTGAGCCGACCAAGCATAGAAATAAATACAATATGGGAACCAGTAATAAGGAGTGCCAGAAAAAGCAATGATAACAAAGTTGCAATATGAACTCTGGTAAAGACATGCAATGATAACAGCAAAAAAAAAAAAAAAATTGCAATATGAGCACTGGTAAAAATGATGCTTTTATAATACTCAGAAGTTCATACCCAGATGTCCTCAAAAGACACATGGCACAGTGGATAAAGGCGTTGGTTAGATCCAGTGACAGACCCAAAGAAGGTGAGTTCAATTCTTTAAGGCAGTGGAGAACTTTCAGAGGGAAAATTAGCAGGAGATAACTGATAACTGACATCCATCAAACATGGCATCAGTCTACCCCAGAAAATAAAGGGTTCAGTTAGAAATTCCAACCACCTGAAGAAGGGCCTTCAAAACGTTACAAATATTTGAGGACAATAGTCCGAAATGTAAATACTGTACATAATACCTCATCTCAAAATATAGACAAATATGTTGATAATTCTTTTTTTTCTTTCCATCAGATCTGAACAGCCACCTCCTTCAGTTAAATGTTTGTCAAAGTGAAATTTTAAAAATTAGGGGAAAATAGTCAATGTTCAGAGCCCAGAAAAAGTAGAAAAAAAAAAAAAAATTGGTTCAACACAATCTTTCTACCCAAACTGCCCTCCATTTGTTGTTCTGAGTTAAACTAAGTTTACCAAATATTTATACTTTTGTAGACCTTAAGTATTAAAATTTAATTTGCTATGTTGAGATACATACAAGACTTAAATTTTAACATCAGATTTTATTTTTATTACTATTGTACCCATAAAAAAAGTATAGATTATTTACATATGGATAATGGAACAGAATATCTGAATCATCCTTGGCATCAAAATGGAATTGTTCAGCCTTCAAGCTGGGACCCAAGTACAATATTTTCAGTTGCATGTTTACTTTTGGGCAGCTCATGTCAAAATAATGAAGCAAGTTCAGTCTTGGGGTGGGGATAGATTCCAACATTTCAGCAAAACCTTCCCCACAGCACCAAAGGAAGAGAGTACTCTGATGCCCATGTGCCAGTGGCCACAGGGAATGGGCTATCCGACAACATTGGGAAAAGGTGTAATAAATACACAATCAGAGTGTAGTATCTCACTATTTTTCTCTTATGTGCTATGTTCCTTCTGGATGTTGGCAATCATGGCTCTCCATAACGTCCTATACTATCCTACCCTAGAATCTGTTTTGCCATCTGTTTGTTAGGCAGATTTTTCTCTTCTAACCCTCTTGCCTTCAATATGGACTCCAAGGCGGCTTCTTTTTTTTTTCATTGTGTCTGAAGACTTTCAATTATCACTTTCTGATTCTAACAGACCTTTTTTTATTATCATTTTCTTTATATAGATATCGATACACATTGTACGAAATAACAGAAACCACATCCCTTGATGACTTGCAACAACAGCAATGGATAGCACATATAACTCGGAGAAAATAATGATATAATCAAGATGTTGGTGTCCCACACTACTTAAAATGTTAGGAAGAAAACCCCCACCAATACTGGAAAAATTAACAATTTTGAGCCATTATCCATTACACCACCTGGTATTCCCAAGTGCTCACCCATCTAAGTACTGGCCAGGATTGACGTTGCTTAACATCAGTGATCAGTCTCAACATGATGTGTCCATAAACCAATACTTAAAAGAGCTATAACAGTTAATGGATTTGAGAAATTTATTTTCCTGAAAAATTATATTAATAAAAATATCTTATAAATTTTAACCAATGGTAGCACTGGCTGCTCAGTAAGTGGATGCCAAATATTAGCTTATTGGAAAATGACTAATATTACCATTGTGTTTTATATATTTCAATCAATATTTTTCACCACAATTCAAAAAGTACTTGCATGACTGTATAAATATAACATCAAACATTTGCAATAAAATTTCTATTAAATAATTAACAAATTTAAAATATAAATTTACATGAACTGAAAATTTTCCAACTGTTAAACTGATCCTATTTTGTATTCAAAGATGCCTTATGAGTATGTAGGAAAACCATTCTCCCATAAGTACATTACCTTTTTGGACAGTAACTCTAAAAGTCTATTATTATCCCTTGCCTATTTATAATTTTTAACTAATTTCTTGATAAATTTGTAAACCTTTACAAAAATAAAGCAAACTGTATTGTCCTTTTGTTCCATTTTATAAACTTTTATAAATTTTCAATCAATGATTGCATATCAATTTTTCAATTTTAATTCAGTTGTGACATAATCTATGAAGACTGACCGCACAGGGTAGGGAGTAAAGAATCCCAAGGAAGTTAATATCAGGAAAATGACGTTTTTATGTTGAGTGCACAATAAATAATTTGTAAATTAGTTCCTTCTAAAATAGCAGAAAGCATGGGTCATATTCTTAGAAATGTCAGAATGAAAAGAGAAAATATATGGTCAGAAAAATACACAAGATTATCTAAAAGATTTTTAGTGAGTGAAGAGGGTGGGGAAAGAGGAAGAAGGGAATGCACAGCAGGAGAGACACACACACACACAAACACACACAGAGGAAGAGGATGTACAAGGAGGAAAAGAGGGAGACAGAGGAAGATGTGGTGGAGACATAGCTTGCCAAAGAAGGAGAAGGCGAATTGCCTGTACATGTGCTTGTAGACATCATAGACCTGTGAGGCAAACTTTTAGCAAATCAATGTTGAAGAGAACAAATCTAACACAAACAAGAGATCTTGGTTACTTGCCCGAGACCAAGGAAGGATAAAAAGTGCTGACTTTTTGTTGCAGGGGAAGTTTGTTCTTTGAGACTGGTGAAGGTTATACCTGTGTTCCAGAGACAGAGTGATAGTACTGTTGTTTAAAGTGTGCAAGAAACAGAGTCCAGGAGGCGCAAAGAGGGGGAGAGAACGGGGAGGCGCAAAGAGGGGGAGAGAACGGGGAGGCGCAAAGAGGGGCAAAAAAGAGGGGAGAACGGGAGGCGCAAAGAGGGGAGGGAACGGGAGGGAGGCGCAAAGAGGGGGAGAGAACGGGAGGCGCAAGAGGGGAGAGGAAAAGAGAGAGAAAAGACAGAACAATTACTTACCCTTGTGAAACTGATGATATTGTTATCTTTCTGACCCTCAGGGCCCTTGTATAACCAACCTTCTTTAGTAACTGTACTTCGTGTCAGAGTCAGATCCTGCTAAATCAAAAAGCAATAAAAATTTTCAATGAATATTTTAAGATCCATGTTCTTATTCAAACATTTTACAAAAATAAAAGCCAGATTTTATCTTTAACAAGAGAAAACCAGGGTTAGTATTAAAGTGCCATTTTGTAAACTTTTTTTTTATTGAAGAGAAGCTTATATAAAAATATCGCACAAAAAAAAAAAAATTGATGTTCTGATAGAAATTACATCTTTTTACAAGATATATGATAGAATATATAAAGGTTATTAATAACAAGATGTTTCAGGTGCATTCTTTGACAGAGTTGGTTATTTTTACAACAGGCATTCATGGTAAAAAAACTAGAATTTAATATGGTCATTTTCAAGGCAAGCAAACAATTCATCACTTGACTTAGAAAACAAATGCAACAAAACTTGCCACCTCCTACAATTATTTGTACAGATATATTATGTGGTCTTAGGTGTGTTTTTTCGCCAGTTTTTACAATTTGATTTGTGCTTACCTCACAATTTGTTCTTTAAAACATATTTATGCAACAGAATCATGTGACTGGGCATGAGGGTTTCAGGTTTGTAGTAATCGAAAAAGCCAGAATAACGAAAACCATTTCATCTTGGAATTTCAAGAACATTCTTATTTTTCATATATTGATAAAATAATAATAAATAATGCATAAACAGAACACATATTAAATAATTGTTGGACTTAATCCATTTCATAATCTGTCATCAATGTTTACATTAACTTTCAGGAGCAGATATGATTGTCCAGGAAAGATTGTCAGAGATTTGTAGTTTATAAACAGTAATTTGGACTTTGCTAACCAGATGCTTCTCTGTAGCTGAGTGGTAAAAGCATGTCAGATCAATTGGCAGTTCTGTACAAGACACAGGTTTGATTCCTGTTGGAGAACGCATATTTTCTACAAAATTTCTCATACATTTAGGCTGCTAAATGTAATTAATACTATTTATTTAAAAAATGAAGCATTTACTTAAATTGTATATATAGAAATAACAATTAAACAGAAAATATATTAAATAATTGGTGAACTTAATCCATTTCATTATATATATATATATATATGAAAGCCTATTTTCAAATGGTTAAACATTTTTAGGTGTTCATCTTGCTAATCCATCTGCAAGACCTATTTTTTTCAACAATTGACTACAGTGTTGTAGTCTATTAGCTGTATGCATCCTTGAACCATATATTGTTAATAGAGTTCTGTGGTTTGTTTGCAAGCTAAAATTTCTTACATGAATAAATTTATGAAATTTCTTCACACCAAACATAATTACTAGAGCCTCTTTCTCTATCTGGCTGTAATTCTTCTCTGCTGATAAAAGTGAGCGTGAAGCATGAGCAAAAGATTTTATTTTACTCCCATTTTATTTGTGGAAAATCACTCTTCTAATACCATACTCACTAGCATCTGACACAGCTAAAATTTTTGCTTTTGGATCATAGTGTGCTAATGATAAATTTGATATAATTCTTTTTTTATATTTCATCAATTGCCTTTTGACAGTTATCATTCCAGTTCCTTTTTTTAAGTAGGATCATTCAGTGGAGCTCTCAACTTATGCTTATCATGTATATATATTTGATAGTAATTAGCCAGTCTTAGAAAAGCTTGTAATATAGACATGTTTGTTAATGGAGGCTTATTTTTAATTGTACCTGCCCTTAAAGGGTCTAGTTGATGACAATTTTTATCAATAATTTAACCAAGGTATTTAATTTTCAGCAAAAGCAATTTGTGTTTTTTCTTCACTGAGCTTGAATCCATATTCTCTTAGTTTTTCCAAAATTGTTTTCATATGCCCAACATATTGTTCTTTAGACTTTTGATTAAAATGTCATCCAGGTACACCATTGAAATCACAATCCACAAGCATGATATCCATACCTTGTTGAAAAATAGCTGATGCCACCTTTATACCAAAAGGAAGTCAGTTAAACTTATATAATCCTTTGTGCATATTTATGGTCATTAATTATGAACATTTATTTTTAATCTGAATTTGTGAATATGCTTCAGAGAAAACCGGCTTTAAAAATATTCTTCTGCTATTTAACTTTGAAAAAAATTTCTCTGAAATTGGTAATGGGTAGTTATGTGTTTCTAAAAAACAGTTTAATCCTGTTGAGAAATCCATGCAAACATAAATTTTATTATTTTTTTCTTTATATACACTACTGTTGCAGCCTATTTTGAATGGTTTATTTTTTCCTATTACACCAATTCTTTCAAGGTCTGTCCAACTCTTTATCAACTTGTTCTAATGCTGTGAATGTTATGCTCTGTTTTGGCTTAAATACAGGCATCAAAGCTTTTTTACTTGAAGATCTGTCTTGAACATTGGCCAGTTCATTTGACAAAACATCTGGAAAATTTTTTTTTTTTAATTCTTCAAGATTTTTGTTCTGACTTTTTAAATTGATCACTTGTACACTTACATTTTTAAAATAAATGTTTGACAAATCCCAAAGTTCAAATAGTTCCATCCAGTCAGTACTGAATAAATTTGTAGCATTTTTTAAGACAAGCTTTAGTTTCTACATGCTTATTACAGAATGAAACATGACAAATAATTTCTCAAAAAAAAAAAAAAAAAAAAATTATCACCAGAAATTGAAATCATAACTTTAGAAGTCCTTTATAATAAGTTTTCCAATTTCCTTCCATGTGGTTTCATTGATTATTGAAATATCACTACCAGTGTCCAGTAGCCCTTTCAAACCCACAAATTTCTTTTTGTTTTCTGTGACCAATTTTCCCATAGCAATGCTGTGTTCGAATTTCTTCTTTTGAGAATTTTTTCTTGGTTTGGTTTTTGTAGTGTGACTTTATATGTCCCATTTTACCACACTTGTAACATTCTGCATTTTTAAATGGTCAGTCATTTCCAAGATATAATTTACCATATCTGAAACAAGGATTTATTCTCCTTTCTGTACATTTGTTCTTTGTTGTATCAATGCACATTCTTTTTTCTGAATTTTTTTCAGCATTGTGTTGTTTTAGACAGATTTAGAATTGTTTGGCAATCATCCACTATTTCTTGCAGTGTAATATTACTGTTTTGTTCAATTTTTTGTTAAAATTTTTGCTGATACTTCAGCATCTTTTTTAGCTGTTAAACCTTGAAAGGAAATTAACCCTTTGAACATATTTGAGTCATTTTCTTTATTCTAAACTTTTCACATTCTTTGTTGATGATACCAGCATGTGACAAAATCTTTGTACACTTTTTGTTTAGATTTACACACCTCCAACAAGCATTAAACAGAGAGCCCTTGTCACTAAAGAGTTTATATATGATGCCAACTAGTTGGGGATGGTTTTAATCAACATTGATTCCCAAGCCTAATATATTAGACCATAATATTTCTGTACCATAGCGAAGAACTCATTTTTATCTGAAGGATATACAAACACAGATTAGTTTTCTATGCAAATAAAGAATGAACAAGTGTTTTCTACTGCATTCTCATTTTTATCATTCTTTTGCCCTATCTAATTTTTCTTTTTTGCTTTTCAATATTTCACTGTTTGACATCCAATTAGTAAGCCTGTTTCTATTCATTCCTCAACTCTGTATTTTTTCCTTTCACCTGGTTTTCTTTTTAATTTTTCTTGTTTCCTTCCTACACTTCTCAATATTGTTATATAAATGTTTCTCAGTCAGAAATCATAAATGATCAAAATTTTTATAGAAGATATACAATTCTATATGGAGTAACTGAGAATCTGATGGCATAAAGCTCTTTCCAAAATCTGAACATTATTTTGTCACTGTAACTGGAGTGTTTGCTTATGAAGTGCCCATTTGCAAGATCATTGAAATTCTTTTTGAATATGTTTCAAATCATGTCAACAGAAAGTATGAAATTTTCAAGCATTGGATTTCAGGACATCAAAGTTTCTGTTGAAGAAAACTCCAAGTGAAATACATGAATTTATGAGATGAGCACTAGGTAACACGTGCATGTCATAATCAAATGCAAAGATGTGATGCTCCAACTTACAGCATGAAAGTTTTAATGTCCAAGATGCAACAACTGGGAGACCTTCAACAGTATCAGCTCATCTTGGCCAAAAAAATTGACACAAGAGATATCCAGGGAATACACTGAGTTTTATAATTCATGAGCAGTTGGGCATATAGAAGTTGTCAGTCTAGTAGGTGCCAAAATATTTGTGAATGCTGACCAGAAACAATATGGAGTAAACAGTTCCAAATTGATTTTACAAGTATTCTCACTGGCCTTGTGATAATTTTTGAGAATAACTTGTCACTGCTGCTTTTTGTTATTGTGAAGAATAGCCTCTTAGAAAGTTAACCAACCAACCGTAGCTAAAGATATTACATCACAACTGGGGAAGTGTTATTTCAATGTAACCCTGACTAAATAACTTTCACCAATTAACAATCTATGCCATGCTAGCATTCAAGTTCTCCATTATCAAAGAAATTCAAGACCCAAAAGGCAGCAGGAAATATTCCCACCATGTTCTTTCATGATACGGAAGTTATTTTGGGGACTGACTATCTTCAGAAACATTTCCAACAGTTTAATGCAGAATACTACTTTGACTTGCTGTGCTAAATAAAAGAGGTGTTGAAGTAAAAACAGTGATGGAAGTTCTGATGTATTTGCTCTCATCTTGCAAGACAATGTACCTGCTCACGAGGCTGAAAAAACAATGGATGTTTTGAAGAATTTAGGATTTAATTGCATAGAGACTATCCAGCCTACTAACCAAATCTTGCTTAATCTGATTATTTCCCAACCTAAAAAGGAGTTTGAAAGGAAAGTTGGAATAATTCAGATGTGATACCAGCAGCAGAATTCTTGTAGAAAAGTTCATGAAAATTGAGAAACGATGCGCCAGGTGTGATAAACATAATACATCTTTTTCATGTGCCTAAATTATAATCTTGGTTAGACATAGAACTTTTCATCACTACCTTAGAATGAATGCAACATAGTAATA